AATAACTTCAACAATTATTTCCTCCCCACCTGTACCTTTGGAAGTATAATAACATCACGAGAAAACAAGCTCTATTTCATAATTGATAACCTAAGAATGATTTTGAGTCCCCTACCATTCAGTTGGTACAGATTCTATCAATACAAACTGTTCACTCAATAAAGGCAAAAAAGATGAAAATAGTTAATATAACCAAACTGCGTGGACATTTTGTTAGGGTCCATAGACTTGAATTTACTCGAGCTCAAAATGCCTGGAAACGAACTAATGATCACAATCCATCTGCATCGCTAGGCACCCTTGCCTTAACTCACCGAACAATTGCGAGAAAGAAGCATCATTCAGAGAATGTAGACTAATGTGAAAAAAGACAGTTTGTTCAATTTCAAATAAGCTTGTTTTGCTAGTATTACACCAGGGGTGTGTCCTAACATGGAGGTGAAATACAGATCTGAACCTATAATGTGCACTGGGGAAGATACAGATTTTAAATCTACTAATGCATACGACAAGATACTATGTTCTATCTACGACCTCAATCTCCACAGATACAATTTTCGATTTACAGATTACACATCTGAAAGCAGCAATATAACCGAACTAAACATGGGGAGATCAGAGGTCTTCTTATGCTAACTGAACAGGTAGAAGTTACTCATAATATCCAGTCGTAATATTTCTTCACGTACTCGTTGTGTTTTCATCAACAGCATCCGTCCAGCAATCAGGTACTGCCACAAAAGGAATTGTGGTTGGAATAAATGTAGATGCAACCAAATAGATTCAGAACAGATTGTGAAATTTCCAACTGACCTAAAACAACTGAATCGAAATGTTACTATCCGCTTAAGCTTTCTATTGTAAAACAAGAAATTGAAGGACCATCTGTAGCAAATGGAAAATGATAATTATTGGAATAACTTATAATAAGAAAAGTTATGGTAATAACAATTTTAATTTGTTATGCAATGTGGCAATATGTGGCAAACTTAAATTTACATTGCTCCACTCTCTTGTAATGGGTCTGCCTCAGAATCAGGGACGTAGCCATAAATTTCACAATCCGCTAACTTCACCACCTGCATCACAAGGTATTACATAAGTGCATATATTGATTTACTTTATTCCCGTTTTAAGGGAAACCATTTAAAAAAAAACCTCATAAGGGCCTTGAACAAGGTGTCCATCAAAGAAGTCCCACAAGAGTCCCTCAGCCCCATTCTTCACAACAAGTTACCCAAAACGTTAGTTAAGAAAACCACTGCAGGAGAACTAATCATTATATAAAGTAACATATAATAAATTTTGCAGAGTCTCAGTCAGAATGAGATATGTAGAATATCACTGCATTATTGTCAATCTCAAATATTTCAAATGCTCTCAATCCAGGTAAAGATGTGTTTTCATTATAAGGGACTAGGTTATGCCTGGTTTTCAATCTGAGAATCTTAAGTGCCTAACGATGGAGAATTCTAATTATAGTATAGTCAGTCAGTTGAGTCGAGAACCAAGCAGTGAGAACAAAACACGTGTAAACAACCGTATAATATATAATTTAAAAATAAAAGTAGACAGTTACAACTTACAAAAACTGTCCAGAATATTACTTTGAGAGTATGTTTGAAAGTCTCCTAAGAATGGTCTCTTGAAATTGGTTTCATATTCACCATTTGTTTCCAGTTATTGATTAGGATTAGGAATGTAGAATTAGTGTCTGTATTTAACAAATTATGCCCTACTAAGAATTATGCTATGAAAATATTTATTCTCTATTTTTCACCCATCCCTACCTAAACTTTATGTTCGCCACTTTCTCTACTTCCACAATTCAATCTCTGACCTACACTCGGTGTTCATCTATTGTAATCAACTCAGTGTATTTTGGTGTCCTGAAAGCTAGTTCCCATTGTCTCAAACAGGTGAAGCAAAGAAGCATCACATCTAGTTCTACACATTCTCACCTTAAACAATAGTGGTATTTCTATCATTTTTCTGGCATCCACTACCACATCCAACATCTCCCCAGTCCCTTCTCCAGTCAGGTCAAAACCCCTCTTGCTGCTATGTGCTGCACTCCAGTACTGATTGACCTGGCAGGGGCAGAGTTTCTGCTATGTTTGAACACTTCAGTCTAGTGTTTACTTGCTACTTTAATTTAATCAGGTATAAGTTACTTTCATTGTTTTTTGCCACGTTGTCATTCTTTGTGGTGGGGGGGGGGGGGGGGGGGGTGATATATAGTTTAGTTTGTGCCACGTGACTTTTTTCAAGGCGTTTGCGCTTTCCACTGGCACTTTAGTGTGAATTCGGCCCCTACACCTCACTTGTGCATCAATTGTGGTAGGTAGCCATAGTGGTGATTTGAATCAATTTCTGAAACTCAGTTCAATCATGAACCAGTCATGCAGCCAGTCTGAGTTGATTTCACGAGTTGATAACTAATGTGGACATGTTTGTAACCCAATATTACATCATCAAACCAGTCGAAACTACAGCATGCCCTCAGTGCGGTGGAACAGTCAAGTACTCGTCAGAAGACTGTGTGGGATCAGTCTCCATGTCTGTCTCCACATCTTGCCTTGTCACACTCTAAAGCTGCAGAGTCAACATTCCACAAAAGCAAACACCTAAAGCACAAGACTCAAAACCAGCACCTCCAGTAGACATAAAGCAAGCTGCTCCACTATACCAACTTGTCTGATTGTTATATAATCATCAATATAATATATTATCATATGGAGATATTAGTCATATTATTAACCCCTTTCATACTGATCACTACTGATCACTGGTCTGACAGCGACCTTTGCCTTATCAGGTCATTCATTAATCTAGTTTTAAAACATCGGTAATAATGGTTTCTTCTCCCCCCCCCCCCCCCCCCCCCCCCCCCCCCCCCCCCCCCCCCCCCCCCCCCCCCCCCCCCCCCCCCCCCCCCCCCCCCCCCCCCCCCCCCCCCCCCCCCGCCCCCCCCCCCCCCCCCCCCCCCCCCCCCCCCCACCCCCCCCCCCCCCCCCCCCCCCCCCCCCCCCCCCCCCCCCCCCCCCCCCCCCCCCCCCCCCCCCCCCCCCCCCCCCCCCCCCCCCCCCCCCCCCCCCCCCCCCCCCCCCCCCCCCCCCCCCCCCCCCCCCCCCCCCCCCCCCCCCCCCCCCCCCCCCCCCCCCCCCCCCCCCCCCCCCCCCCCCCCCCCCCCCCCCCCCCCCCCCCCCCCCCCCCCCCCCCCCCCCCCCCCCCCCCCCCCCCCCCCCCCCCCCCCCCCCCCCCCCCCCCCCCCCCCCCCCCCCCCCCCCCCCCCCCCCCCCCCCCCCCCCCCCCCCCCCCCCCCCCCCCCCCCCCCCCCCCCACCCCCACCCCACCCCCCCCCCCCCCCCCCCCCCCCCCCCCCCCCCCCCCCCCCCCCCCCCCCCCCCCCCCCCCCCCCCCCCCCCCCCCCCCCCCCCCCCCCCCCTGGATTTTGACATTGCTTCATAATAGGATAAGTTAGTTCTCGATATTCTGTTTCACCTTAATATCATATTATTCAGATTCCTCTCCCTACTTCTTTCGTACCTAAACCCTAGAAGTAATTTTAGAATTTGTAAGCGCATAAGGCTACTAGGTCCAACCAAACAGGTCAATCATACCGCAATCAAAAAAAACCAAAATAAAAACATAGGAATCAATCCAAAAGTGTTATAATACCAACACTTTATATACAAATAATCTTATGCCAAAACATCGTTTTTTTTACTTATCTAGGCAAAAATGAAGTGGGAATTACATATATGGGCAAACAAAGTTTAAATTACGCATTTAGACAAGTCATGGAGGACCAAACGACTTTGTATGAGGAAGTTGTGCCCCCCTGCATGACTTTATCTGACACAACAATCAAAGGTCAAGTCGTGCACCCCAAAACGTTTTTAGGCTCTAATACCAGGCCTTGTAATCGATTACACAGTGCCAAAGTCGTGCAGTTCCCTTGTAATCAATTACACCCCTTCTACAATCGATTACAAGAAATGTAAATGAACATAAACTCTCTGGTAATTGCTTACCAAGGTTTGTGGTATAGCAACAATGACTGGTAATATTTACTAGATAGGGTTTGAGTGTTTGAAACCATTAGTTTTTTTTGTTGTAGACCCATGTATGTTGTTTATGGGCATCAGAATTCTATCGTCCATTACATCTAGAAACTTAATTCACCATATCTATCTGTTTACTTCTGTACTATGCCCTTCGTTGTCTATGATAACAATCCAGAACCCTATAACGACATCGCTCTACCAAAACATATGCTATTTTTAAATATACCTAAAACACAAAATAGATTTGATAGAATTAATTATGTTTCTAATTATAATTGATAGTATTAATTATGTTTCTAATTAAATTATATTTGTTTTCTAATTAGAAACATAATTAGTATTATCAAATATATTTATTTCATTATATTTAAAAACATATTTTATTAATTAGATTAAAATAATTAAATAATAACAAGATAGATATGGTGAATAAGTTAATCAAGAACCATAAACAAAATGTATGGTCAACAACCAAAAAAACTCATTGTTTCAAAGCTCAAACCCTCTGGTATGTAATCGATTACCAGAGTCAACTTTGCTATTACACCGCCTTGGTCAGCAGAGAGTTTATGTCCATTTATACTTCTTGTAATCGATTACAGAAGGGGTGTAATTGATTACACGTGAGCTTGTGTCCCCTGCATGATTTTGGCACTATGTAATCGATTACAAACCAGAGCCTAAAAACGTTACGTTTTGGGGTGCACAACTTCACCTTCGACTGTTATGCAAGGTGAAGTAGGGGCCACGACTTCCTCATATGAAGTCGTCTTGGCCCCACAACTTGCCTAAATGCATAATTAAAATTTTTTTTTGCCATATACGTAAATCCCACTCCATTTTTTGTCTAGATACCTAAAAAAACCCCAAAAACATCCATACATGCCTATGAATTTTCTGTATACCAAACATCAAAGGGGCAATACAAATAATAAAAGAAATCTCAAAACAATATATAGACAACTATTAATAGGAGCACCTTTGAAGCTTCACACATGTAGGTATCAAAAATCTGCTTAAAACTGTCCCATGATTCTTCTGCGAAAAACTGGTGAGCTTTAACTGCACTAAAAACCATTATACGTGTATGGTATTATAGGAAAAACAAAAGCATGATCCAACAAAATAGCAAAGTTAAAACAAAACTGTTCAAACACTTAAATTATCAAAAGACTTGGGAAATGGAGAGAATTGAACTCTCAGCTTCTAGAGCAACAGTTTTCTGAACTGTCTGTCAAGCCTTTTGACAACACTCCCATTGAAAAGAAAAAGGATTATATAGTGGGTTGCCATGTCGCCAACAAAGCTGACAATAGCATTACCCATAATCCTCCTTTTTTATCCTATAGATAATAACAGAGAAATATTTATGCATCATAAGATACTGAGGTACCTGAAATCATAATCGGGATATATGTGATACAGAGTAAGAACCAGGTAAACCAATGTCTTTCGGCTGGAATAAAAGAACAAAAAATGAAAACATTTAAAAGAGACCTCAGAGCTGATTTTCACTTTCCTGAACCTATCTAGATAATAGAGGCCACCTGGTTCTGGTTAATAAGGTTTGATCCGGTGAGGATGAATCAGTGTCAGATGATTGCCCAAGATAATCAAGTATCTGAAATTGAAAAGGTTCAAATGATAATAGTCCATTGAAGGGCCTATTCCATGTTTCAACATCCAAGACATTTTAACTTCAAAAGTTCTTTTCCTCCCAACACAAGAAAAAAAAATGATTTATATTCTATCACTTCTATACTATAATATAATAAGTTAATATATGCATACATGATGGCAGTGATATTTTCTAGCAATTATTCGATGTGAGCACAATTCGCTCAGATGGAAAACAATGCAAATAGCACCAAAATAAAGTTTATAGCACTGAATTAATTACATCATACTTCTATTCTTAACATACTCAAAACAGCTTATAGAAAAATAAAAATCCAGTGAAGTGAGAGAAGCAATATTTATGCCATCAATCTACCTCGGTCTCCAAACTGATGGAGAGTTTTTTATCCGTTCCAGCATGTTTGCCTATGAAGAAAAAAAAGTTGTTAGCTATTACCCCCAACCAAATGCAAACAATGAGTAAGAATTCACTTGTTACTCCTTACAACTATAAGCTTCAAGGCATCCTTTGATAGTCCGTTCCCCCATGTTCAAATTATCCAAAAAATCATTAAGCCTGAAAATGTTATTACAATAACTATTATACCCCACATGTTATACAACAAAATCCTTCAAATTCGTTTCAATTATAATTACCTGTCTAAGCGGCGCACCTCCAAGAACTTCATGACGAATTTGATCGATAATTCCATTTCACGATTAGAATTGAAGCGAAAGCCCTTGTTCCGTAAACTTGACGCTCCCTGATGTTGTAGAAATAAGAAATTGTGAACATCTAGAAACAATTCATGCCGTTGAAGCATTAGAAATGTGTGAAACAGAGAACTACCAAAAACATGAACTCCGTACAACAGGTCAAAGTCAAAAATTAGAAATTCAAAGCATCTTAGGATGAAATAAATCTGAACAAAGATTGGAACAAGAAAGACAAAAACTGAGGTACCGGAGACGGGGAAGACGATAATTGTTTGGTTTGACGACGCTTTGGATATATCACCTGCCAAATTCGTATGTTAGGGTTTGATAATTTTGGCATAGGGAAAGTATTTGGAAGCTGTGAAATTGGAATATTCGAATTTTGATTTGGAGATTTGAGACGTGGATGAGAACGAGCCATCTCGGGAAATAAAATCTTGTGGTAGGTACGTTAGATGAGAGAATTGACAATAATGGGCCATGATGAGACAAATGCCCGGCCCATTATAGAGTGTTTTCTTTCTGCACCCTGTATAAATAAATTTTTCATTTTATTCTTGTTAAATTGTGCGCTTAAAAATCAACAGTAAATTTTTAATGATTTAATTTTTATATTGTATAATTTTGGAAATTCATTTTTACTTTTAAATTGCACAATCCAACTATTTTGCACTCAGAATTCAAAAATGTAAAACAAAATATTTTGTATATGTGAAATGCCAAGCTAACTAAATATCATGAACAGGTAAGAGAAACTACTCTGAGGGTAGGTGGAACAAATGAACCTTTGGGCTGGACCATTTTATAGGGTAACTTAAAGCAAACAACTTGTCTCTCTAACCAATCCACGATTTTTTTTTTAATTTAATTAAAATATTTTAATTGAAGTTACTTATCTCTATAACTCTAGTTAACTAAGAGCGTAAAAGTACTTACAGAAATTGAAATTTTTGTATTTCTGTTTTTTTAATTGCATCACTTTGTGAAAAATATTATTCTAAATAATTGTCTTTGGCCCCACTTCATATTTTATAAGTTAATCCCCCAGATAGTTTTTAACATGTTCTAAAATTAAAAATTAGGAAATATGTTTTTTAACTTATTTTTTCAGCTCCAATCAGAAGTTGGTATGGACCTTGTTATACACTATTATTTGAATGCAAAATTTACTGCTAAATCAAAATGTAATATTAAAAAGGTTAATTGTGGAACATGTGTCCTGAATCATTCTTCTTATTAAATGGAAAAAAAAATCAAATAATAAAAAGAAGCTTTTGGTTCCATCAAAACGTTTGTTGTGATAGTATGAATAATGAGTTATAACTTAAATAATAAGACAACATATGTGTTTATTCGTGAGATTTTTTGTAAACTAAAAAAACTGATAAGAAAATAGTTTCATATAAAACACATTGCAACAACATATACACATTTATGTATAAAAAAAATAATAGGATTGTTTCATGATATTTAATTTTCATGTATAGAATAAATATCCTAACACTAAATATCTACAAGTCACCTTTTTTTATGTTATCCTTTGTGGTTTAGTAGTCTAAAGAATTAAAAGTTATAACAATACAAATAAAAGAACATTGATCATTTGTATACAATTTGGACATAATGTTACTTACATAGAATATATTTATAATTAATCAAGTGTGAATCGTAAACAGTATCTGTGGGAGTAAATTTTAATATTTTTTAGAAGATGAGTGATGGAAGAAGTTAAACAAAATATAATACACGTAACTCCCTTTATTTGGCTAAATCTTCATTTTAGGTATCAGAAGATAAAAAAAATAGTATTAATTGTTTTAGACTTACCAGAGAAAAAATACCTAAATATTTTTTACTATTAATTGCTTTAGATCTTAAAAAAAATGTTCAAAAATCTTAAAAAATAAATTTTAAATAAAACTATGATAAAAAAAATCATATTTAAGTATACTTAAGCATTCTAAACCCTTACACAGTTATTTAACAGAACAGTTGTATAAATGTCTCATTGCAACATGGGATGTCACCAAATTCATATATGACTTTGATAGTTGAAAACTAGTGCCAAGTGTTAGAATTTCATCTCGACGAATTTCATCTTAACAAAGTGTCAATGTCTTTAATATAGGTTAATATGTTTCTCATTACCAACCATGAGAAGTGACTAGGGAAAACAAAAAATATACACATATAAAATGGATAAAATTCACGATAGATAGTTGATATTAGTGGATATTTACTACTTGCGGAAAATGGGTATAATATCCGCTTATAAACGGGTCAGATATTATATCCGTTACTTGCAAAAAATAAAAAAAAATATTTAATTTATATTTTATTAAGTTAGATTTAACTAAAATTAATATTAATTTATATTTTATAAGGTTAAATTTAATTAAAATTAAATTTTAATTTATCTTTAATTAAATTTATATTATATTTTATATATTTTTTGCAATTTTATTTTAATAATTTATAAAAATATTTTATTTTAATATTTGTGGGTATATATGAGTATTTACGGATATCCGTGAATATTTTTTAAGTGAATATATGTGCAGGTAGCGGATGATTTTTTTTGTCAGGTCGAGTTACAGGTAGGTATTATCCGTGCCCGATCCAACTCGTTGTTATCCCTAAAGTGACCATTAATATTTATTCTATTAATCAATAAATAAATGATGGTTGAAAATAAAAAGAAATTACATAAGATATTTCCAACCACCATTTCTTTTATATGATTATGACCACTAATTTAATTATTTTCATGAATCGTTATTTAAAAATATAAATACTAAATCAAGTAAATTTCAATATCTAATTAGTTTAGTATTAATTATTTATATAAACATATAATTTATCGCATCTCATCCATATTTACCTTATATTTAATATAGTTTAACTATTTTAAGATAATTTTTTTTATACTAACTTATCCTATTATTTTTTTATATTTTTATTTATTTCTTTTGTAATAATCATCTTACAATATTAACAAATGAGAAACTAAGTAATAATACGTTTTTAATAAAGAAACAAATATATTATTGAAAGTTTATTAGTCTTTTAATAATCACTTATATAAAAGTTTGATATTTTGAAAAATTCATAATATATAATTAATTTTTATATATTTTATTATTATAATTATTATTTTAGATAATTGTATTAATATCATATATTTATAATTATTAGTTTTATTTTATCAATTTTATGATACTTTATTTTTTAATATATCAATATTTCAAATACTGAATTTTTGTCCTCCAATAACAAAAATACAAATTTGAGATATTGAAATAAAGTAGGATTGAAATTCGTTATCTGATTAATTTTCTTGAATTTCTTCTATTTAATGATCCAATTAATCACAGTACTCATATTTTTAGTCCCTTCGAACGTCTATTAGTGTCTTCGTGACACGTGAACACAAGGAAAAATCTAAACATTAGAAGCAACCATGACAATACAAATTTAATTACAAAACAAAAACCACAACTCCAGAATTTTCCGATTGGAATATAAAATGTAATCTTACAACTAATACAAGTACAGATTCTCTGCTGAGATTTTAACACTGTTATTTATTAACTTTTCAAAATATATTCATGTTGATATGTATTAAAAAAATATTTTAAAATATCGAAATTACTGTGTATATGTATTTTAAAGATCCACACACACACAAAAAAAAAACAACAGAAAATTCAAATCCAACAAATGCAAAATAAACATTTCACCACGGAGAATTTTAAGCCATAAGTCTCTGAAAGACAATAAAGTAAATCATCATTAAACACTTAGTTGACATTGGAATCTTTAATAATAAGAAAAATCAATAGATGACCGCAATTGAAAGAAAATAATCACATTGCATTGAAGTTGTGAGAAAGTCAATCAAATCAAAGTACTAGCAATTACTTAAGAACCATAAATGTAAAATTGAAAATAACATTGACATTGTGATAAAGGTATACTCTCAAATTGCAATGAGCAATACCAATAATGGAAATTAAAAGAAAAATATGTGTCATACTTTTGTGGTTGAGATTATTATAATCCATCTAAAACTATCATCCTCTCAACTATTTTTTTAACTGAATTAATTATAGCTAACATTTTATATCTCTAGTAAAACTCAATAGATTCATCTTGTTTGTTTGTTTATCTATTGACATTTTAAAAGTGGATTAACATTGACATTACAAATAGGTTAAAAATAACGTATTAAGTCAGAGGATATTTAAAAAATGTGAAAGCACACTGTGCTTTAATTATATTGAGATATCTAAGAAATAATATGGTATTTTCAATTTAAACAAGAGAGTTAGGCCTAAAAAAGAATCATGATATCACAATAATTTTACTATTCCAAGATTAAGAAAAAGGAAATTATTATGGAATGATGTAATGATTTTTTATTCAAATTGAGTTTATATAAATGATTATTCTAATTTTGGTCAAAGTTACCATTTTAATACCTATTAACTTTTATTTAATATTAATTGGTGATCTACTTTCTTAAAAAACTACAAGTTATAATAATATCAATTCATCATTTATGTAATTATATATATATATATATATATATATATATATATAATACATTTGATAATCAGTTTTAATGTATATTACTATGATTAATTTTTTATCAACAGCTGAATAATTAAATGATAGGTTAATGATGAATTAATTTGTTTATTTTAAAAATTAAAATACAAAAAGTTTTATAGAATACGAATTTAAGTCTTATACATTAATAATTAAAATCTTAATTACGGATTTTCTTACAAAATATTTAACGTTTGGTAACAAACTACGTAAGAGAGGTAAGAGAAGAAACAGAGTGATTCAAGGTTTGGTGTCTGAGAGAAGTGCTTCCGCCATCTCTGATCCGAAGCAAAGAAAAGCTTATGGAAACGTAATTCTCACCCTTTTCTGGTTCATCTTTCCCTTCCCAACAACACCCATCAAATTCAATCTAACATACACAACCACTCACAGCTAAACCCTTCTCTCTCACAATAAACAGTAACAAGAAAGAAAACTGTTCCAGTAATAACAGATCCATTTCTCTCTCTTCCCCACCTTCTAAAAGCTCGCCTTTTCTTCAATTCTCTCAAAACCCTAATCCTCTTAGCCCTCTGATCCACACCGTTTTCCATGTCTGGGATGTATTTACATTTGGGTCTGTTTCTCTGCATACTTTTTGTGTGCTGTTCAGCAACTTCGTCTTCTTCCTTCGCGTCGCGCCGTTCAATCCTTCGAGAGGTCAAGAACGCTGTTAATCATCCCGATTATGCCGTTGAACTGAACGGCACGAATTTCGATGCCGTTCTCAAGGAAACCCCTGCTACTTTTGCCGTTGTAGAATTCTTTGCCCATTGGTTAGTTTTTGCAGTTTGTATTAAGTCGTTGTGTTTTATGTGTTTCTAGTCGGGGAATTGTGTGGAATCTCTTTTGGGTGTTAAAAAGTTTGGGCTTTTATGGATTTTACTTCGAGGGTGGGAGTTTCTTTATTTTTGTATTTTTTGTTTTGGATGATAGACTCCGTGGTTTGATCTGAAAAGTGGATCTGTAGTAATAGTTGCGAGGTGAGAGTATGGATTCTTGACAAATTAATGGAAGGGTTTTGGAAATTTTAATTGATTGGTTTGTTGAGTTTGCTTTTTACGGTAGATGGTTTTTCAACGGGTACTTCTAGTCTAGTTAAGGTAATTGATGCCATGGGTAGTGAAGGGTTAAAAAAAGCACAATACAGTGGATATTATCAAGTCTTCACTTGAAAATTGTCGTTATCTTTTGTTCACTTCACCCTGTTCCCTCCTGGCAGACCTCCTTGAGTAATCTCCTCAACAAAAACTTATAGGAGAAGAAAATAAGATGAATCACATGGTCTAAAAATTTATAATTAATCTGGTTCAAGTTTGATCAAACATTATTTCTGGGAAATATACCATATTTTTTTAATTGATCAATTTTTGTTTATTTATATTTGCTTAATTACTTATATTCGTGCAGCAAACTTCTGAAGTGATATTGGCGTTCACATTCAAGAAATGTTTGAGAATAAAGTCATTTTTAGTTATAGTTTTAAATATATATTGTTATTGTCAGATAATTGGATTATTTTAAACATGCGAATTAGTTTTTACCATTTTATATATTCCCTCTCTTCCATCTTTAAGAATGAAATATGAGGACAAGAAATTCTCATTTTCTGTTTTGTCCCTTTCTTTATCAGGTGCCCTGCATGTAGGAATTATAAGGTATTGTTTGCTAAAAAGTATAATTAGCTTTTTGTTAGTTTTCTGTTACAATTTAACGCATCATGGTATCTCACTGAAATTTGAATGTAGCCACACTACGAAAAGGTCGCCAGATTATTTAATGGACCTGACGCAGTGCATCCAGGAATCATATTAATGACAAGGGTAGATTGTGCATCAAAGGTTCGTGCACCTTATCTTGCATTCTTAATTAGGCCAAGGTGATATTTATGCTTATATCTTATACTGAACATGCCCTGGCAATTGGTATCTCTATTTTCAATTTTTTGGCAGCACAGATAAATACTAAACTATGCGATAAGTTTTCTGTTGGTCATTAACCTATGCTTTTTTGGAGCCATCCTTCTAAATTTGTTGGCGGTGGTTGGGATCCTAAACAAGATAAAAATGATATACGTGTGATTGATGATGCACGCACTGCTGATCGGTTACTTAGTTGGATCAACAAGCAATTAGGAAGGTATGAAGCATAAATAAACTCATTGTTGATAATTATATTATGGTAGGTAAATATTTTATCTAGGCTAGATGATGATAGGAGAATATTTTATTAAAGCCAGATGTTGTATATGAATTTTCGGAATATCAACTCAGTAGACATATAATGATTACAAACTGGGCACTAGGCGGTATGGAAAAATTGAAGTTGTAACTGCTGGAGTCTAAAATTATGAGGTTAAATCTGATGGATGCTGAAATTTGTCATAATATAATTTGCTTTAATCTGATGGAAGTTGTATGTGCAATGTTCATGATGTTGCAGTTCGTTTGGCCTGGATGATCAGAAATTTCAAAATGAGCTTCTTTCATCCAATGCCTCAGATCCTGGACAGGTCCATTTCTTCACGCACTCGCATGTTTGATTTCCTTCCGTTTTATATTTGAAGATATTAATCTTTATGGTATTCATGACTTGGAAAGATTGCCAGAGCTATCTATGATGTAGAAGAGGCAACTTCTACAGCTTTTGACATCATCTTAGAGCACAAGGTAGATTATCTATTTTCCTTTATTGGTCCTTTTGTGCTTATTGGTTTGGGTGATACTACAAATGCTTTATGTTTGGCAGATGATAAAACCAGAAACTCGTGCTTCACTCATTAAGATCCTTCAGCTTTTGGCAGCTCATCATCCTTCTAGGAGGTAAGACAAAGGTTTTGCTGATATGCATGATCCTTTCTTTGATCAGTGATTAGTGTCAAACTTTTTGTGTTCTGAATTTCTTTTCAGATGCCGGAAGGGTACTGCTGAATTTCTTGTGAGCTTCGATGACTTGTACCCAACAGATTTTTGGTCAACTAAGCAGCAGGAAGATGATAATAGTTCAATTAGGAACCTCAAGATTTGTGGGAAAGATGTGCCTCGCGGATACTGGGTAGGATATCAATACTTGTATTACACCTTTTACACATTTCTGTAATTGATGAATATTTTAATCCTTTTTGAAAGTTACCATATTACGTTAATTGTAGTTTAGTTATTAATTATTAATGGTTGTTGGATCTCATTATTTATTGCTAAGAAGTATCTGCAAGCATGCTTTATATTTTTTAGAAAAGAATGTTTTTTAATGTCAATGGGAAATTCTGTTTGGTATACTTGTCTGTCACATGCTTTGTCCTCAGGGCTTTCCTATGCAAAGATTTGGCTTGATAAGCATTGCTTTCACTATTTGTTAAGCACTCATACATGGGTAAAGGGCCAAAGTGGAATTTTCGTTGGCAAGTGTGGAGGAAGATTGGGGTTGTTGTGGGGGGGGGGGGGGGGGGGGGGGGGGGGGGGGGGGGGGGGGGGGGGGGGGGGGGGGGGGGGGGGGGGGGGGGGGGGGGGGGGGGGGGGGGGGGGGGG